CCCCAGTCTCGCATCTAATGAGTCGCAATGAGAATGTGGGGACTTTTCTTGATGTGCTCATACTGGACCAGTTAAAGATATTTATAACGACGCAACAAGTCTTATTTTTGTTAGATTCAAATAGAGAGTCTTATACAGATCTGCCACTTCTCCTACGTGTGTCACCAAAACCTGTGTCGTTTCGCAGAACTACGTTTGTCCACACACAATTAGTAGACCTGGCGCACTAGTCAACACTTGTCTTCTTTTGATCCAGGCAAGGAGTATAGTTCGCAGTCACCATAATCTCAATATCACGCGACTTGTATATTTTGGTCGTTGTCTTTCATTAGTATGGACCAATATACAGTGCAAGATTTTATACTCAGGTATTGTTTTGCAGACGTGTTAGCATTTTAATCTGTACAAAAATTCCGGCCCTATTCGGCAAATTCAGATATAGAGAAGGGTCTAAGCATTTATGAGACGACCCAAATATAATTATATCTATCGTTTCTGCAAGACAATACATCTCCATAACAAATTATACAGCCTTAAGGTTCTCCTGGAAGGGGAAGAAACTAACTACGAGGTCGTGGGGCCATCAGAGCACTCTCATTCGTACATCCCCTACTCGTTTCTTGGCGACGTCTGATTATTACAACATGAGGCCAGCATTTACTTCTTGGGAGAAGGCCTATTTGAGTGACTATGATCACTACTCCTCTCAGAAGTAATCATTATAACTCATCTTCTCGTTTGAACTCCATTACCACATCAAAAACAGTATCATATCCAATATTCTAGACATTCATAACAATCGTTAGTACTTGGTCTCAGAGTTTCAAGGATGCTCTGAGGCAATAATCCCAGCGCGACAGATTGGTCGGAAAAGATTTAGTTGGCTGATTGAGCCCGAATACTTCACTTCGTCACTTTCAGAAAAGCTCACCAGGAAGTCGGCATGTCTCGTATTCAAAAGAGCGGCAATACAGGAGATGGTTACGGAAAGATCTGAGTCTCTGTTAGTCGTGTGCGACGTAAGTCTAGTACAAGATATGCATTCGTGTTATGGGTGCGCAAGGGGCGACAAAGTCAGGAGGACCGTCTCAGTCGCGTCTACGGCGACGAGGCGATACAAAAGAATTTATGTTTCTGAGGCGACTTGCTTGTCGCGTATGCGTCGCATCGGAAGGGATACATTTGTTGTCTGACGATTGAAGGATTGCTCGTATATGCCTTTTATGCCCAGGAACTTCCAAGATTTGTTTTTACCGTTTCTACTAGCGATTCAATGCACTCGCATATGCATTACAACAATGGAAAGACAATCAATTCGGATTATAAGGTTTTTAGCATCGAAGCATGAGTCCGCATTGTGACCGGGTTTTCAACGAAAGTGTGACGCGAAATTTCAAACCTGTAAACAAAACTTTTCATGGTCCATTTCGGGTACGATCACACACATTCGTGATCGACACGAGATGAATAGTGTCGATGAAAATGGAGTACCAAGAAGAGATGTACAAGGCATTCAAGAATGTCGACATCTGTTGACACGTGTGTGAAACCACCTATCCAGAGACACCTGTGCCGTTCACGGCATACTTTGGGCCCGTTGAGTTGTCTACACCATCCTCCGGGCATGGACCGGTCCTGGCGGCCAGCAGGTCTAGGAGACACAACAGTGTCTGCTCGCGTTTACGAACCTTAATTCCGGAAGTTGAAAGAATATTCCTAACCGTTCTCGCATTCCCATGGGCAAGGTGTTTGGGTCAGAATCTGTTGGCCGTCCTCTCTCCGAATAATCCGGCAGAGTTCCGGACTATTCACGGCGGCGGGAGGAGCTTCGGCGATGGTCGAGGAGGAGAGGAATTTTCCTTTTCCCCTTTTCTCTTCTTCTTCTCCTTCTTCCTTCTTCTCTTCACTTGACCCCGCTTATGATTGATAGAAATTGCAGGAGGGAATCATACATATATATATTGGTTTTTTGATAGTGTCTCAGCAGCTATTTCGGTCCCTCTGGCTCTCTAACCGTTAAGTCAGTCTAAGGTTTCAGATCATATGAGGGATTATTTAGGGATTTATTTTGACTAAAATATCAATAAATGTCACCGCCACGCTGAGCAATAATTTGTAGATTTCAAATTTATTGAGTTCTTGCTGTCCATTACACTAACGATAAAGGCAGCGCTGTTCATTAGCGACTATTCATTAATAGAGACAAGCTTGATGATGTTGAATTCAGCGGATCCTGGGCTCTTTAGTATCGTCTCGATCTAGCCGCTCGATCCTCGTAAGGTAGAAGCTCGGTTAAAATCAGGATAGATACTCGACTTTTACTTAAACTTCTTGTGATGTTTTGCAACCTTACTAAAGGCGGCGTGTATAATCAATTCGGGTCTTCTGTCTGGACCTTATTTGAGTGATCGTGTCGGGATTGGTGTGGAAATATTATTAACATGCTGCATTTAATTTCAAAAAGAGTGTCATTGGGTTCAGTCTACATTCATCGTGATGTGACTAGACGTAGCCTCAAGTGTTTGAGCTTAAGGTATAAGAGTGGGGAATTCCTAAGGGTCATATTAGGTATATGAGCTCGGCGTTGTTAGTCGAACGAGTTACATTAGGTATCTGTCGGGTATTTTACTTTTGTAAGATCATTATTTCAAATACTAGTTCATTGGTGTGTGATCTCCTGATTGAGATTAACTATGCGCGGCGAGAGTTTGCATATTTTGGGAAATATTTGAGATTTTGTGAAGAACCGTATCAATTGCTAAATGCACTTGAAATGTAATTTACTTGGCCACAATCTTAATTAACCACAAATATCATTCCAATTCAATATTATTTAAAATTTGCTATAGATGATGAAAGATGATGGACCCTATTTTATTGTCTTAATACACAAATACACTTAAGCTTTAAACTTTAAAGCTAAAAGATTAAAAAAAATATTGGAACATCTTGCCACAACTCCAAGCTTTCGCAGAACATCTTCTTGGTGCTCCGTCACTCCACACATGAACTCACGTGTGCGAGAAATGCTTGTGCTGGTTGGCTCTCATCTACAACACACAATCCCTCCTCTAAGACAGCGTGCTCTCCCACATATCCAAAAGCTCCCAAGAAGCAATTCCATTTCAGGATATCGGGCCTCACTACAGCTTATAATATATTCATCGATGGACCAGAAGAGCCGTAGTAGTCTATGATTAGACCCAAGGATATACCTAAATAAAAAAATTAAATTATATAATTTATTTTTTTTATATAAAAATACTGATGGTAGATATCTCTAATGAATATCATGTGATGATTATAATAATAATAAATATAGAAGAATTATTATTATTCTTATTTTGATAATGTAGTAAAAATAGAAGTGGGTTCTCAATTATTATGTTTGACAAATATAATTAAAGAATAGGGGAATAGAATTAAACTTTGTGTCGGATTAACAACTACAAAACATCTTATAGTCCCAACATGAACAAAAGGTCTAATAGTCTTATATCTCAAAATCAAATGTGGTTCCTTCAAAGTGGTACAATTCATACATCCTCATATATTCTCCTTTATGTCATTTCAAAGTTAGACTTATTATTTCTTTCTCAATCATATGTTCCAATTGAATTATGAGGTTATAATTACATAAGTTACTGTCAGTCAGGGACTAGACTCATCTCATATATATAAAGCTAACATATTATCAGTAGCGCGGTCTAAAAAATATCTTTTTAGCAGGCACTAATACCCATAGTGATCACCTCACTGCCCTTTCATCACTTTGAATATGCCTTTTTCCTTTTTTTAATTTATGATTTATGATGTTGCGTACGATCATCCTGTACAATGTGAGATATTTCACTAGGCCATATTGCGTCGATTCTAAGACTATCCAAAATATATGCGATTGTATGTAGCATCTTTCGGTGGTAGTGATTATCAACAACAATGGCCTTTATTATTATAATGAAACTTTGTGTCAATTAAGCGGTTTTGGTCGTCCTGGGAGAGACTCTATTTCTCTATTTTTTACATGTACATCTCTCCTCCTATCTAAAACAGAATGTGCTCTACTCTATTAGCTCGGTTAATACATATAATATTTTGACCTCGGAGTTATTCTCATGAACAAACATTTACAATATTTTGCATCTCCTAATATCATTATTTTTTACTATTGGTTCCTCGTGTTCGTTATTTTTTTTCATCTTGAAATATAAAACATGCACTCTTCTCTTCTTTTCAATATTTGCTTGTTGGATTTATGGATTCACTTAAAGATAATGCTCCAAACATCATCATCTCTGAGAGTCTCTCTCATTTTTCAATAAAGTCCACAATATTAATAATAAATAATACATTAAACTAATCATCAAAATTAATTTTTTGGTACACAAACTAATAGTATTAACCCTATTATATACTCTTTATCTACCATATATTAGATCTAATGATATTTATATATTGAAGATTGCAGCATCAACATATATATATTGAAATTATTGTTATAATTTAATAGGAAAAATTATAGTGGTATACGCACCAGATAAAAAATTGAAATATTTGAGTGAATATATTATGATATATTTGATATTAAAGTTATATATGAGTGATAAATATGGGCGGATCTCTCATGTACTTAGGGTGGTGGGCAAATGTCCACCCTTAAAAAATAAATAAATATTTAGAGGGGATATTTTGAATATTTTACCCCTTCAAAAATCTCTGTTACCCTAATTTTATCAATCATAAGTGTCTTTACCTATAAAAAAAAAAAAAAAAAACCCACCCTAAAAAAAAAAATTGAAAAAAAAAAAAAAAAAAACCCACCCTGAAAAGAGAAATTGGATCGGCTCCTAATGATAAATATATAATATTAATATTTTTGATGTTAGATATATAAATAATATCAAATAAAATAATATGGATGTAAATTTGCATAAATGATATGTATGTAAATCTCCGTATTTTAAATATGAAACATTAATTCAATCAGTTTATACATATATCGTTATCCGCGGGCTGGCCAGCATTTGCTGCCTTGACGAAACCAGAGTCAGAGGTTCAAATCCTCGCAATGGCGGTGGCTCGGGGTGATGAGGCTACTAGGACCTCATCTATCTGAAATATCTCATCGGTCGCTGCGCTTTTTCTCTCCAGTCAGAAGGTGAGGTACTTTTTTAGCTGAAATTTCTAAATCCAGCTCATCGATGTATTCGGCTTCGCTTCTTGAGGCAATCTCAATTATCGGAGATCCACCAAGATCCAGGCCGCCGTCGCTGAAATGGAATCGGCTCTTGTATCGGAAAGTACCGGGAGGTTTTCGTAGGAATGCCAAAACTATCAGACTCTACCCTCACTTGGCTTTGAAGCCGATTGAAACTCAACGGATTTCCTCTGATTCATCAGAAGAGGAGACGAATCCATGGGTTGGGTTTGTTACGAAGGTGTTTGATATGTTGAAAGTGCTCAAGAAGCCGGCTATCGCCGCTTTGTTGGTGGGAGTGCTCCTCACGGCGGATCCGTTTGGGGCTATTGCTGCTTCTGGAGGGAGGATGGGCGGGAGAGCTTTTTCTTCTAAGTCATCATCGCCCTCTTATTCCAGGAGCTACTCAGTTCCGTCTGGCTCTGGATTCCCTTATTCTGTGCCGTACTATGCACCGTCGCCGTTCGGAGCTGCTGGTGGTTTTTACATGGGACCGATGGTCGGGGTTGGGTTCGGTGCGGGGTCCGGATTTTTCATCCTCATGATGGGGTTTGCGGCGTTTGTATTGCTTACGGGTTTCCTATCAGATCGATCTGATGATGAGAGTGTTCTTACTGCGGTGCAAAAAACCAGCGTTCTCAAGCTTCAGGTATTTCAGTTTGTCAAACATTAAGGGTTGTTTTGATGTTACCGTCTTATATTTCCACTTTTTTTGTGGTAAATTTCTTATATTTTCAATTGAGTTTACCGAGTGACACTTCTATTTGTGGACTTGTCAAAGGCTTTAATTAAAAAAAAATCTGTTGGTGAAATTTTGTCATCCATCCTCGATGATCGAGTTGAGATATTTTATGATCGGACTTGACATAGAAAATAATATATTATTATTTCGTTATGGACTAAATAATAAAATTCATAATTTTATGTTTTAACAAAAAATTTCTTTTGTTCAATATTTGATTGAATAATGTTTATTTTATTCTAGGGCATGGATGCTCCATAGGACTTGCTTCTATGATTAATTACATCTCAATCATTTGTTATTTGAGAATATTTTTTATTATAGTAGTTTCTTTATAATCATTAAAATATTGATTAATGTTTTTACTTTTGAGTTTGAAAAATTCTTGTTTTAAGATTTGGTCTTTGAGAATTTTAAAGGAGATGTGATCTATTTTAAATCAGATTTTTATTATTGAAGTAATGATTCTAAAAAGTTTAATGAGAAAGTTTTTATTTTTGATCAGTTGGTATAATGTACTTTTGAAGTAAAACTTTATGATTCTGACAGTTAAATAGACTACATGATAAATTTATATGCTGCTGCTTTATATTATTTCTCTTCCTAAAGTTGAGAAATATAGATCTGTCATTCTCATCTTGGTACTCAGTCCTATAAAGGTAGAGTTATCGAGTCTCTTAATTAGAATGTCTGCAAGATGATCTTTTGATGAGACATGGTGGATACATATAAATCCACTATCTAATTTTTTATGTATGAAATGTATGTCCACTTCAATGTGCTTGGTCATGTCATGTTGAACTGGATTGTGAGCTACGCTGATTGCTAATTTGTTTTCACAGTGTAGTTTTATAGGTCCTTCCCACTTGATCCTTAGGCCTTCTAGAATCATTTTGATCCATAACAGTTTACATATTCTCAAGGTTATATCTATATACTCTGCTTTGCACTAGACCTTATGATAGGAAGTACTTGAGTTCGCAAGTAATCTATCGGATCAACTTGAGTTCGCAAGTAACCCTAATACAAAATTGGTAAAAACAACGAGAATACTCAAGATCGGAGATGAAACAACCAAGAAAATAATAGAACTTGATTAAATACTCAAAGCAAAATAAGCTAGAAGAAAAGATACAATTGATCCTCTATTCGAGAGGAGGGTCTCTCCCAAATCTCTAGACAAAAGTCTAGAGCCCAAAACACCAACGAGACTACAAGAAGATAATAACCAAAGCATGCCTAGCCCTACTCCTTCATGCCCTTTAAATAGCTCTCTCCACATCCTTAAAAACTTCCTAATATAAGATAGTATTAAATTAATTCAAAAGATATCAAATCTTTTTGATATCTTTTGAATTAATTAAATCCAAACAAATTGGACGTGGGCCCCTCCCTTAGGTGGTGCAGGAAGGAGGCGGTTTGACCCGCCTCCTGTATACAAGTGCTAGCCCCACCTGGGTCGGCTGAGGTTGAGTCGGTTCCTGGGGAACCAACATATCAATACCTCCCTCCCAAAGAATCATCTTATCCTTAAGGTGAAAATAAGGGAACTATTGTTTTATCCTCTCATATGGCTCCCACGTGACCTCGTAATCCGGGAGGTTCTTCCATTTGATCAACACCTCTTTAGTTCCATCTTTGTTTTGGCGTACCCCTTCTAGCTCTAAGGGTTCTAGAGTCACCTCAAAATTCTCAATAAGTGTTGCTGGTAGCTCGGGACTGGCTGTGTAGTCACCAATGGCCTTCCTCAACTGCGAGACATGAAAAACTGGATGTATAGTTGTTGGTGGTGGTAATTTCAGTCGATATGCTATTGCCCCAATCTTCTCTAGCACTTCATAAGGCCCAAAATATCTTGGAGCCAACTTTTTGTTCCTCCTGTTGGCAATTGACTTATGTCTATACGGTCAGAGCTTCAAGAACACTTTCTCCCCTATTTCAAATTGGATGTCCTTCCTATGCCCATCTGTTTGTTTCTTCATAATTTGTTGAGCTCTCAATAAATGCCTCTTCAGCTCCTCTAGTACTCGGTCCCTCTCCTCTAAGTACTCCTATACTAATGACACTGGGGTACTGCTACTCCCAAAGTGCACTAAGTGTGGGCGGTCCCGTTCGTACAACACCTTGAATGGGGTCATCTGTGAAGCAAAATGAAAAGATGTGTTGTACAAGACTACCAGTACTCTACCCAAGATAACCACTTGGCCCATAGCTTGGGTGTCTCTGTCACAAAACATCTCAGGTATGTCTCCAAGCTCCTATTGACCACCTTCATTTATCCATTTGTCTGTGGGTGATAAGCGGTGCTTCTCTTTAGAACTGTTCTCTATAACCTGAACAACTCCCTCCAAAAATGACTGAGGAACACCTTATCTTTGTCTGTCACGATCGCTTATGATACCCCATGCAATTTGACCACTTCTCTAATGAATGTTGAAGCCACTGTCACTGTGATGTAAGGATACTGGAGGGGGATGAAATGAACTTCCTTCCTCAATCTATCCACCACCACCACCAAGATCACTGTAAAGCCTTCTGAACGGGGCAACCCATTTATGAAATCCATTGATATCTCCTCCCATACTCGTCCTGGTAATGCCAACGGCTATAGTAGTCCCCTGGCGACATAGCCAAATGTTTGTTCCTCTGACAGATCTCACACATTGCCACCATTTTCTCTACATCTCTATGCATTCCCTTCTAGTAAAGCTCGGCTGCTAGTCTCTTGTAGGTCTTTTGCACTCCTGAATGGCCCCTAACTACGCTTCTATGAAATTCATGGAGTAAATTTGGGATGTGGATAGAGGTACGGGGTATCACAAATCTTCCCTTATACAACAGTCTGTCTCCCTCTAATGAGTACCCTGGATGGCTACCCTCCTCTTTCAGCAATTCTGACTTGATCTTTTCTAATTCTTCATTTCTAGCACTTTTTTCCCTGATGGCCTCCCAGTCAAACATCAAAGGAACAGATAGTGCCACCGTCTGTAGCTCTTCCATACATCTGGACAAAGCATCTGCCGTCTTATTCTCCACCCCTGGTCTATACTGAATCTCAAAATCGTATCCTAGCAACTTAGACAACCACCATTGATGCTCTTCCATCACCATCCGCTGTTCTAGCAGGTATTTCAAGTTATCTGATCAGTCCTGACAATGAAATGCCTCCCAAGCAGGTAGGGCCGCCACTTCTGGATGGCCAAAACAATGGCCATTAATTCTTTCTCGTAAACTGATTTTAGCCGGGCTCTAGAAGTCAATATCTGGCTTAAATAGGCAATGGGTCTACGACTCTGCATCAGTACTGCGTCTAGCCCGTACTCGGAAGCATCTGTCTCCACAATGAAGGTCTAAGTGAAATCTGGCAAGGCTAAGACTGGCACTGTAGTCATCGTCTTTTTCAAGCTCTCAAATGCTGATGTGGATGCTTCCCCCCATAGGAATCCGTTCTTCTTCAACTGTTCAATGAGTGGTCATGCTATGGAGCTGTACCCCTTAACGAACCTCCTGTAGTAACCCGTCAGTCTTAGGAATCCTCTCAACTCCTTCATATTTTTCGACACTGGCCACTTTAGCATTGCTTCAATTTTGGACTGATCTGCTGCCACTCCTTTTGATACTATATGGCCCAAGTACTTACACTAGCTTGTGCAAAGAAGCATTTCTTCAAATTAGCTCTCACCTGGTGCTCCTGCAGTACTTCTAACACCCTCTTCAAATGTTCCCAGTGCTCCTCTTCTATCCTGTTGTAGACCAGGATGTCGTCAAAGAATACCAGTACAAATCGTTTGAGATAAGGTTTGAAAACCTTATTTATAAGGGCCTGGAATGTAGCGGGAGCATTGATGAGGCCAAAGGGCATCACCAGGAACTCATAAAGTCCTTCATGAGTTCTAAAGGCCGTCTTGGGTACATCCTCCATTCGGATCTGATGGTCACCCGATTTCAAGTTTATCTTGCTGAAGATCACGGTCCCACTCAATTTATCTAGCAGCTCGTCAATGACTGGTATAGGAAACTTGTCAGGTACAATTTTTTTGTTAAGTGCTCTATAGTCCACACAGAAATGTCAGCTGTCATCCTTCTTTTTCACCAATAGAACGGGGCTAGAAAAAGGATTGATGTTGGGTCTGATGATCTCTGACTCCAGCATCTCTCTAATCAACCTTTCTATTTCATCATTCTGGAACTGAGGGTAACGATAAGGCCAGACACTGATGGGTGCCACTCCCTCCTTCAACACTATGGCATGCTCTTGCTCCCTCTGCGGTGGCAATCCTTGAGATGGCTAAAATACCTCTTGGAACTACTGAATCAATGGCTGAATGGAGAGGGGTATGTCTCCTCCCTCCTCCAATCTCGCTCCCTCCAAACTATGCAACTCCACCAAATACCCTCCGCCTGCCAACTGGATGTCCCTCACCATCGTTTTAAGAAAAACCAGGGATTTGGAAAGCCCACATCTCCCTTAATCACTACATTCATTCCATCCACCGTCAACTCCATCGTGAATGCTCCCCAATTCACTTTTGTGTCTCCCAAAGTTTGCAGCCATTTCATCCCCAGGATGACGTTTGTGCTCCCAAGCTCTAGTGGAAGAAAGTCTTCCCTCACCTGTATTGATATAGGCAAGGGGGGGGGGGTCAACTCAAACCCAAAATAAGTTGGATTTGACTTCCCTTGAGCTTACAAGCTCAATCAATTTGAGCTTGAATTTAGCTCATTTATGAG